CTTGTATTTTATCGCTCTGCTGACCCTTGGGGTCCATTTTATTTTGGTATACCTTTTCTAGGTACGTTAGCCTGTGACCACGGAAATTGGCCGAGTCAAGTGATGGATTAGTACGGAGAGATTGAGACAGAAGGAGGTACTGGATAGAGAGACCGGGATGGTTTTTAATGTGAAGACAACAACAACAACAGTCTATGGATATGGAATGGATGAAGTGCCTCACATGGAAATTACGTGACATGAACGGCCACCAAAATCCAAGCTCTCTTGAATACAAAGTGCCAGGTACCACCCCGTATAGTGCGGGCGAACCTGGCGGGCATATACCGGAACTACTGAGGGACCCCGCTCCCCGTTGGCGGAAGTTCCGGAATATGCGTCACCGGCGAGGTGCACTCAGGCGGGTGTGGGAAGCGTTCCCCGTTCTCCTTTTATTTTATTTTGATCGGTCTCCTCGACGCTCTTTCTCGTTTGGTGCGGTAGCTGGTCTTTCTTTCTATCATTTTGTTTCTCTTCCGAGTGGTTTTTGTACCCTATTTTTTTCTGTTTCTTCGTGGGGTCGTGTATGCCGGGTTTTGAGACCACGGGCTCCCAATCTTTTTTTTTTTTAGAGCTAATGTGAGAAACAACAACAAACAATAACTCAAACATGTTTCCCACGACCTCCGCTTTTTTGGGTTTGGCATATATATGCTTGTTCGTCCTACATACATATTGGGGTATATCCTAATCTGTGTTCTACGACTACTCAGCATATTAACGGTATTTGTGGACGAATGGAGAAGCATTTTGCTTGAAGAACGCACGCGTTCCGAATCCGGGGCGGGGTTACTACCTCGCTGCTGCTACCTTTGGCTGCTGTGACCGCCTAGGCGCCGGTGGTCGGGGGTTAGACCACATAGCAGCTGCCACGGGCCACGCGTACGACAAAAATGGTTACAAGTACACTACATTTCCGACAAGGAAGCGACAACACAACGGGTGCTGGATGGATAAAATACTTCTGAATCGCGACCGCGTGATTTACGCGTGCGTATACATAGGAGGCTCCTCCTGCAGCTCAATTCGCTGATATCTTCAATGTACAAACGCACGCGCGTATTCACATCCAATGTCGTGCTGCTTGCTGGTTTTTGTTCACGTGTGGTCTGATGGACTGGCCGCTAACATACGGCAACATTGAGAGACAATTTCCGATCAGGGACACAACCAGCTCGACTCACAGATCGGCCACGGCGTAGCCGCCCTCCTTGGCGGGGAAGGTTCGGGTCTTGCAGCGGAGGTCCTGCCCGGTGCCGCCGATCCAAATGTACTCGGCCATTATCTTGCCGCCCTGAGGAAGCTTCCTGAACTCGTTGAGCACCTCATCGGAGCGGGCGGTGTGGCTGGAGAACTGGGTTTCGGCATGTTGCTGCTGCTGTGAGAAAATCTGTCGCGATAGGGGGGTGGGAAGGGCAGGTCGGTTTGTCAGGGGTGGACGTGGGGTTCCCAACAACTGCAAGTAGCAGACGGTAGAGGTTTGATGCATTCTGCCGCGCATGTATGCGCGCCAACGCCTTTGCTGCTGGAGGAGCATGCAAACACAATACAACCAACAGAGTGGCCGACGTAGGCACAGCAGCAGAGGCATGTACAGCAGCGTCACAGCTCGCTGTCAGGTGCACAAAAGAGAGGTGCCAGCGGAGTTCGTTTGTATCTGGGAGCAAAGAACGAGCGACGACAACAACAGCTGTGGCGTCGTGATGTCATGTGGCATCAGAATTCAGCGGCAGTTGTGGTGAAAAACAGCACGTGAGAAGATAGGATGCTGTCCCATGGAATGAAAGCTCGCACTCTCGACTATGGTAGCAGCGTCGTACATACAACAGCAGTAGCAGTGTCACAGCAAAAATTTTCTAGGAACTGCTGTCCGTCAAAGAGGAGTAGCTGCTGCAAAGCGGAGCAAGAGAGCCACAGCGAATCGTAATGTGCTTCCTCAAACAGAAGGGAACGCGTATTTTCGTGTTCGTGTTGAGGGAGCCTTGAACGCGAACTATGTATTTCGGGGACTGCTGCGCTGTCCTCCCCTCAGCCTTCGGTTCGGAAAGCGGAGGTGCATGGCGCGCTCCTTGCGGCCACTTATGAATACTGGCCTCTCATATTCTCTGCCTCCCCTTCTGAAAAAAGACAACATGCATACAACGGGCGCAAATCATGACCCCACCGCCGTTGCACTCTTCCCGCTTCCAACTACGGCATGACCACCTCGTGCACGCACACAGACAAAGCTACTTGCACGCATGAGGTATGTAGAAAGCACACTGCCGATCCTAGCTAGCCCACGGGCGCGTGTGCTGATGAGAAAGAAGGAGACTTTGCTTGTTGTCGGATGTGGAAAAGGCAGGCAAGGGATGTGTGTGTAATGAGGAGGGGAGGGGCCGAGCGCTGCTGCCGCAGGCCACCGGCAACATCAGGGCGAACATCAGCGGACCATGTCTTGGCCGTTGACGTCATGACGTCATCTTGAAACTGCGCCTGAAACTCTGTGCCTACCCCACCCCCCCCTCGGAGCAACACAAGGGTTCAAAAGCCAAACGTGTTTACGCTCTCTCCCCAGTTCTGATTGGAGTTATAAAGTTTGTATTTACAGCAGAGCTCATCGAGAGCGCTACCCACCCTCCCCTCACAACGCCGAAACAACAAAACGAAATAAATCCCGATGATGACACAAAGAATGAGCGGTAAGAGGAGCTGACGGCAGTCCCCGCTGCCACTCCCCCCCCCGCAAAGCTGGACGGGTGCATCACCGGCAACACTGGGCCTTCCTCGGTCTACGGGATCATGGTAGCCTAGACGGCTCCCCTTATTCTTGCCCTTGTGCGCAGAGGCGACTTTTAGGAGGTTGTCNTAACTCAAACATGTTTCCCACGACCTCCGCTTTTTTGGGTTTGGCATATATATGCTTGTTCGTCCTACATACATATTGGGGTATATCCTAATCTGTGTTCTACGACTACTCAGCATATTAACGGTATTTGTGGACGAATGGAGAAGCATTTTGCTTGAAGAACGCACGCGTTCCGAATCCGGGGCGGGGTTACTACCTCGCTGCTGCTACCTTTGGCTGCTGTGACCGCCTAGGCGCCGGTGGTCGGGGGTTAGACCACATAGCAGCTGCCACGGGCCACGCGTACGACAAAAATGGTTACAAGTACACTACATTTCCGACAAGGAAGCGACAACACAACGGGTGCTGGATGGATAAAATACTTCTGAATCGCGACCGCGTGATTTACGCGTGCGTATACATAGGAGGCTCCTCCTGCAGCTCAATTCGCTGATATCTTCAATGTACAAACGCACGCGCGTATTCACATCCAATGTCGTGCTGCTTGCTGGTTTTTGTTCACGTGTGGTCTGATGGACTGGCCGCTAACATACGGCAACATTGAGAGACAATTTCCGATCAGGGACACAACCAGCTCGACTCACAGATCGGCCACGGCGTAGCCGCCCTCCTTGGCGGGGAAGGTTCGGGTCTTGCAGCGGAGGTCCTGCCCGGTGCCGCCGATCCAAATGTACTCGGCCATTATCTTGCCGCCCTGAGGAAGCTTCCTGAACTCGTTGAGCACCTCATCGGAGCGGGCGGTGTGGCTGGAGAACTGGGTTTCGGCATGTTGCTGCTGCTGTGAGAAAATCTGTCGCGATAGGGGGGTGGGAAGGGCAGGTCGGTTTGTCAGGGGTGGACGTGGGGTTCCCAACAACTGCAAGTAGCAGACGGTAGAGGTTTGATGCATTCTGCCGCGCATGTATGCGCGCCAACGCCTTTGCTGCTGGAGGAGCATGCAAACACAATACAACCAACAGAGTGGCCGACGTAGGCACAGCAGCAGAGGCATGTACAGCAGCGTCACAGCTCGCTGTCAGGTGCACAAAAGAGAGGTGCCAGCGGAGTTCGTTTGTATCTGGGAGCAAAGAACGAGCGACGACAACAACAGCTGTGGCGTCGTGATGTCATGTGGCATCAGAATTCAGCGGCAGTTGTGGTGAAAAACAGCACGTGAGAAGATAGGATGCTGTCCCATGGAATGAAAGCTCGCACTCTCGACTATGGTAGCAGCGTCGTACATACAACAGCAGTAGCAGTGTCACAGCAAAAATTTTCTAGGAACTGCTGTCCGTCAAAGAGGAGTAGCTGCTGCAAAGCGGAGCAAGAGAGCCACAGCGAATCGTAATGTGCTTCCTCAAACAGAAGGGAACGCGTATTTTCGTGTTCGTGTTGAGGGAGCCTTGAACGCGAACTATGTATTTCGGGGACTGCTGCGCTGTCCTCCCCTCAGCCTTCGGTTCGGAAAGCGGAGGTGCATGGCGCGCTCCTTGCGGCCACTTATGAATACTGGCCTCTCATATTCTCTGCCTCCCCTTCTGAAAAAAGACAACATGCATACAACGGGCGCAAATCATGACCCCACCGCCGTTGCACTCTTCCCGCTTCCAACTACGGCATGACCACCTCGTGCACGCACACAGACAAAGCTACTTGCACGCATGAGGTATGTAGAAAGCACACTGCCGATCCTAGCTAGCCCACGGGCGCGTGTGCTGATGAGAAAGAAGGAGACTTTGCTTGTTGTCGGATGTGGAAAAGGCAGGCAAGGGATGTGTGTGTAATGAGGAGGGGAGGGGCCGAGCGCTGCTGCCGCAGGCCACCGGCAACATCAGGGCGAACATCAGCGGACCATGTCTTGGCCGTTGACGTCATGACGTCATCTTGAAACTGCGCCTGAAACTCTGTGCCTACCCCACCCCCCCCTCGGAGCAACACAAGGGTTCAAAAGCCAAACGTGTTTACGCTCTCTCCCCAGTTCTGATTGGAGTTATAAAGTTTGTATTTACAGCAGAGCTCATCGAGAGCGCTACCCACCCTCCCCTCACAACGCCGAAACAACAAAACGAAATAAATCCCGATGATGACACAAAGAATGAGCGGTAAGAGGAGCTGACGGCAGTCCCCGCTGCCACTCCCCCCCCCGCAAAGCTGGACGGGTGCATCACCGGCAACACTGGGCCTTCCTCGGTCTACGGGATCATGGTAGCCTAGACGGCTCCCCTTATTCTTGCCCTTGTGCGCAGAGGCGACTTTTAGGAGGTTGTCGTCGGAAACGATGATCGGACTAAAAAGCACAGAAGAAGGACGCAGAAGAGGCGTGAGACAAGCTTGTGAGGAGGCGTCGATATCTCGCTCTGGAGTTTATCTTGTCTCATAAATAACTTGTAGTGTCGGGGCAGAAGCGAGGGAGTGAGAGGGAGTGAAACAATAGAAGCGGAGGCCACAGTGTTTCACAACAAAGCGCCACGAGCATCGGTGTGAGTATGTGGAGAAACCATTGGTAGTGGAGAGGTGGGTCAAAAAGAGACGGTGTATGTAATCACCTCGTTCCGCGCGGACGAAAAAGGAAACACTGCAAACGTTTTTCTCAGCATCTTTTCTGGACATCGTTGGGGTGGAAAAAAAAAAAGCTGGAGCCGCGCGTCTTCGAAAATTACACCAGGTACTTACATGCTCCGGAATGAAACAATGCGAAAACTCAGGCTTCACGAAAAAGATTAGGCCTGGTCGCTCGGCGCCATGAAAAGGAGCAAGACGAACGCAAACAACCGCAGCCGCCCTACTCGCTCCCCCCCCCCCCCCCCCCCCCCCCCCCCCCCCCCCCCCCCCCCCCCCCCCCCCC